TCTCGAACGCTGCTCACAAAATCATGCAAGTAAAAATGACAGGAAAATCAATAGAAAAGCGTCTAGAAAAGCAAACTTCTCGGTCCACAGAGTTAGGGGAAGAAAATCTAAAGAAACTCGAAGARAAATCGGTTGAGAGTTTACTTATAGTTGATAGTGGRAGCAAAACAGTTCTCATTTCATTCATTTTGTAARTAGGACAATAACATGACTTTTGGAGGGCATATTGTTTATTTATGGCCCGATTGGCATCATTTGCTCCCAAGCGTAGCGATTAATATCATATCATCAATAAACTAAGCCAAGACTGTCTGTTTTCGGCTTTCACCTCGTTAAAATTTGGTAAAACCTCGTTGAGCTCTTTCGGAGCAATGGTTTTCAAGTCGACACTGATTTTTCGTTTTTTACTCCATTTGTAAAACTTTTTCAGGCCCCATTCAGTTGCTCTCTTGGTACTTTTTGCTTGAGCTTTCGCCTCAATCTTGTCCTGGCCTAAGTCAGAACTTTTCCTACTCATTTCTAGCTTAAGATGTTGATAATYTTCCATATTTTGACGAAAAAAAGCTGCCTCAAATCTATTCAAACTCAAAACAAAACCGAGTCGGTGTAAAACAACTCGTGCGCTTTCAAATGGTTTTCTCCTCGATATTTGATTGGTCGAGAACGGTCGTACGAGCCCTTTTTAGCCAATCAGCAACAGGGCTGCAAATGTATTTGCGGCCCGCCAAAATCCATTTACGCCCATTGGCCGCGCGTTTTCAAAAGGCGCGCGCATTATTTNCATCAAAAGTTTTATGTTTTTACAAATGTCATTCTAGTTCGTTGCTTGTTTGCCGCTAATTTAGGAATATTATTTAGCTTTAAACTTTGTCAAAAATCTCTTGAATTTGTTTAATTGTGGAATTCAAAAAGTGCTTTTTCAAATGATTATTTTATACCATGTATGAGCTACGAATACTCTCACCATGAGAACAAAACAAGTACTTTTTTCGCTCGTTCTTCATGCTAGTTTGTTGCTCAGTCGTTTTCCGGTAATGTTGTAGCTATGTTATCTACACTAGATGAAACAAAATAGAAAATGTCCTAACCTCTATCTTCACACTGTGGCGAATTCTTTTTTCCATGATTTCTTCAATAAAATTTTTTTTTGTTTTTACAATATTTACAAAAAAATGATAGTTAAAAAGCTCGTTAAGAAATTAAAAGTCGTCATTTTCCAAGTGACGTGTGATTTGAAAGCTCGACCAATCAGAAACGCGATGTACACCTGGCGGACGACACTTTTAGCGTTACGCACAGGGTTCCCATGCGATGACCACGAAAACTGAGTTGCATAGTTTAACATATTTTATACCTATGGAGCTCCGCTAAAATTCGAAATGTAAAATGTCATGTGCTGCAAGAGTAGAGTTGAAGCCCTTCACGTTATGTGAAATTCCACTCCAATTATTGAAAAAATATGTAATTTTGATTTGATCCCATCGTCAGATTTGTTATTTATTTTTCCTCTAAAGTTGGGTTTTATAAAATACTGTCAATACACAATAAAAAAGGGGGATTTGTATAAACCGACTTTATCTATGAGCTATGGTGAAGAGATTAAAGAATAATATCAAATCAATATGAAATTCAAATCTCTCCTATTCTCCTTGTCAAATACAACAAGGCAAATAGCGAACAGCAAACTCTAAATATTTGATTGTGATGCTGATAGGGCTTTGAATGTGGACTCGTTTCTTTCCATGTGGGATGCGTTGAGTAACCAAAGGGAACTTGCATCATAGTCAATTTCATGTATTTCAAATTTCTGCTATGGAAACATTGATTTTCGTATTTTTACTTTTTTATTTACTAAATAGGACCATACTTCCAGACATCGAGTGCTGAACCGTCGTATGGCAGCGCGAAGCATTTACGGCTACGCCGGAGATTTCGGCCCCGACACCGCTATCCGNCCCAATAAAGTTATTATAATAGTAATAGAGTTGATGTTCTTGGGCGTAGATGGGTCATTTTTGGCCCTTATAGCGGCTCGGGCTTAAAACGCATTTACGCCCTCGAACTTCAATTCTATTCTTATAGTAACAAA